GTCCTGGTGTGGTGGCGGAGCTGGCTCTGGTGGTCCCGGCGGCGGTGGTCCTGGTGTGGTGGCGGAGCTGGCTCTGGTGGTCCCGGCGGCGGTGGCAGTGGTGACTGTGCTGGCTGAGGTGTGGGCTGGTTGTGATGGTCCTGGCTGTATTGGCAGTGCTTGACTATGGTGGTGGTGGTGGTCCTAGCTGTTGGTGGTCCTGTGTAAGGTGGTGGTCCTGGCTGTGGTGTTGGTGCCAGCTATAGTGGTGAGGACCAGGATGTGGAAACCAGGGTGGTGGATGTGGTATGGTGGTGGAGCACATGATGCTTACCATGAAGGAAGAAAGATTGGTGGTGGCATCTATGAAACTACAATGATTTGGGGAATTATAATGGGCAACAGCAAATTTTGGACCATTGAATTGGCACAGTTTTAGTGGAAGAAGCTTTGGCAGGCCCTAGGGTGGTGGAAGTGGTAGCTATGGTAACAGCAGATTCTAAAATTTCAGCAGAAAAGCAGCTACAGTCTTCAGCAGGAGAAAGGACGGGGGTGTCAGGAAAGCTACAGGTTATTCTGACACTGTCGTCCCTAACACTGGAGGAACCGCCAACCTCTGCCACCATTGTGCATGGTCAGGAAAGCTACTGCAGCTTAAGCAGGAGACCCTTCTTGCCTAGGACTATCAGCCACGGTTTGCAAAAAGTGTAGCTCCTACGGTATGCAATGCCGTGCCAACTAGATGTGCATTCTTAAGACCTTTTATCTGAGTGTAGCTTTTTCTTTTTCTTTCCATTATATCGGGTGTCTTGCCCTGTACATTGTGGTAGTAGTACCAGGAATAAAAAATTAAAGTATCTTTAACTTAAAAAGAAAAAAAAAATGATGGTGTTCCAGAACGGGAAGCAACACTAGCTTTTCAGATTTGTGTAGCTGCCCTCACTGTTGGGTGTGGGGGGAGGAGCCAGGGGACCAGCCGGTATGTCCTTGGGCCCCTGAGCTCTGGGCAGGCTGAGGCCTGTCCTGCACACTCCCACCCACTGCTGAGCTAGGCTGCAGGAGAGGAGCCACCCACCAGGCTGGCGGGGGAGTAATGGCAGTACAGGGAGTGATAATGGAGGGTGTCCTGGCAGGAAGCCCACAGCCAGGCAGGGGTGGAGAGGGAGCACTCAGTCATTTGACAGCCCCTACTGGCCCTGTGGGGCCTGGCTCCCAACTCCCAATGAGTGGGGCTGGGGCTGGCCTTGAGTTCCACCTTGCTATGGGACCTGGGCACTGCACAACTTTGCTCTGGGCCTTGGTTTCCCCACCTGGCTCTGCGGGGACAGAGTTGGGAGAGAAGGACAGGGGCCACCTTGAGGGCAGGGGGAGTGAGGTGGTGGTCCTGATGTGCCTCCTTGTTGCCTTGCAGAAACAGGGGTCCTGAACGTCAGCATTGGTGTCAACGGGACCACCGTGCATTGGCCAGCACCAGCCCAGGGCAAGACATACTGCGCTGTGTGGCAGTCCCAGGGCCAGAAGGAGAGCGTTGCCTCCTGCCTGTTGAGCGAGCCCCAGGAGGGGGACCCTCATGGAAGGGGTATCCTAGTGCCACTTGTCCTGACTCCCCCTCTGCACCACAGCTCCCGATGGGCTCAGACCCACAGTGACCGTTCATGATGACGTGTCTGAAGTTCAGAGAGGCCTTGCTACTTACTCAAGGTCACACAGAGAAAAGCTGAGGAAAGGCTGAGATCCAGCATCTCCTACCCACAGTGGTCTGAGAGCCTCCTGCTGGGATCCTGGGGTGGCAGGGCTCAACCCTGGGCAGGTTGCCCTCTGGTGGGTAATGAGTCTCACACCTCAAGGTGTTTGTTAAACATCCACCAACACCAGGGAAGGTGGCATCTCTCAGGATGCTGGTGGCACATTAATGAGACTTCTGGAGAGCACGAGAGGGTGCCGTATGACCCAAGGAACTTCTCAACCACCCACCTCCCGCCCTGGGCCTGGCAAGGATCCCAGAGAACCTCAACCTCAGTGTGGCACTCAAAGAGCCCCCAGCTGGGGAAGACAGAGCTGGGTAGAGATAACCTCTGCCCCCTGGAGTCAGGGCTGTCTGGGGGGGGGGTGGTTTGGGGGAAGCACAGGGAGGGAGTCCTGGAGGACAGGTCTTGGAGCACTAGTAGGAGTGTCCCCCGCAGAAGCCACAACCGCTGCAAAGGTGCAGAGGTGCGAACAGTGTACCTACTGGCTTGACCTTGCTCATCCTCCTAGCAGCCCACAGCTGGAGCCAAATGTTTGGGGCCATGGAGCAGGAGGTATGTTACCGCGTCATGATTTTCGCCTCTGCAAACCCAGAGAAGCTCACCTCCTGGTCTACCGTCTTGTCTACCTACTACTTTGGGGGCAATGGTGAGTGGCCCAAGCCTGCAGGACGGTGTCCTGGGAGGATTCCGGGGTGTCTTTGGGCATCGGGAGGCAGGAATGGCCCAATGAGATGCACAGAGGTCAGCCGACTCAACTCTTGAGCCACATTCTTCACTTTCTCGATGAGAAAACCGAGGCTTAGAGAGGGGAAGTAACGGCACCTGAGCGGAGGGTAAGGGTTAGAACCCATGCCAGCTTGGCTGCGTGTCCAGGGCTACCGGGCGGCCTGGAGCGGGCTAGGCTGGGCCTGCGGGAGGGACGGTGGTGAGTGTGGCCCTGCGCTGTGGCAGCCTCGCGGGCTGGGAGCCCGCAACACGTGTCGGTGAAGAATTTCAGCTCCAGTTCTGTGTGCGTGGAATGGACGCCGTCCCTGCTGGGCATCTGCCCTGGTGTCCTTAAGGGGTACGTCGTGCGCTGCACAGATGAGGACAGCAACCAGGTGACCGGTAGGTGCACAGAGCCAAAGGCGAGGGCGGGGCGCTCTGGGTGCCTTGCCAAGTGACCGTGGGCACCTCACTGTCCCTTTCTGGGCTGTGGTTTCCTGAGACGAGCGTGTTAGAGTCAGTGACCCCAAGAGGGCCTGGCAGGTGGTGACCAGGCGCCTCGTAAGGGGACGGCAGTCCTTGTGGGACCAGCAATTTGAAGCCCAGGGAGTGGGTGACTGTGTTCACAGATGGGGACACAGAGAAGCAATCGCCTCCCCAAAGGTTGGACAAGCCTAGATTTGAGCTCAGTTATATCGGGGGCGGGGGGCAGCTGGATGGACAGAGCAGGTGTCGGGGGCGGAGCCTCCTGCCATTCCCACAATCCCTGCTGGGCAGCCCTGCAGCCCGCCCACCTCCTGCAGCACAGGCCGGGCCAGCGAGACCCCAGCTCATATCTGGGCTGACCAAGGATACCTGGGGGGGGGGGGTGCTCTGGCCTTGAAGACATAGACTTCCTGCTATCAGCTGATTGGGGCCCAGTGGGGTTGAGTGACTTACTCAGGATGGCATAGCTGAAAGGAGTCTATTTGCCAAAAGTCAAACCATGAAGATTGATGAATCTAATGACCCTGGCCAAATCCACTGATCTCCCCCAAATTTCTTTCAAGGAATAGTCCTCTTGAATATATACAAAGAATATGGATTTAGGGTGTCAGGAAGTTTTTCTTCTTGATGACAGCAACAGTTTTCTCCTTTTAAGGATTTGTATGGAGTGCTTTACAGTCACTTGTCACTTAACAACCTTTTGGTCAACAGATCACATCTAAATGGGGGGGTCTGATAGGCTGTACCTGACAGCCTAAGTAGGTAGCAAGCGGAGGTTGTGTAATTAGCTCTTAGGTTTTGATGACAAAATCTCCTAATGATGAATTTCTCAGGGGCCCCCATGGGTAAGTGATAAGTGACTATATTTAAGACCATGCCATTTTACTAATACTGAAGCCCTAAAGTGTGCTGGGGTGCTGGGGACACTGAGGGAGCAAGAGAGACAAAATAAACACTGACTTTGACCATAAATGCCAGGAGGAGGAAACCATGTGGGTATTTTGGAGAAAGGGTGAACCAACATGGGGGGACTGTCAGTGCAAAGGCCCTGTGGTGGGTCCCTTTAGGGAGATGGGAGGAAGTGGCATGTGTGGCCAGAAGTGAGCAAGGGGTGAGTAGAGGGAAAGGTCAAATTTGCAAAGATAATATCATTGACTGCATATCTCAACAAAGAATACTCCTCCAAATAAGTCTGAGGTTACTGAGTGGGTTAAGGGTAGAGCTTCCAGCAAAAATGGCCATGAGCCTCTGCTCCTACCCCAGGGTGGACAACCTGGACTACAGGGAGTCAAGGGGTGCTGGGACCCACAGATGCCTCCTTTTTTCAGAGTGGCCTGTGGCTCCTGCAGAGACCCATGTCACCCTCCATGGCCTGCGGGCTGGTGTAAACTACACCGTGCAGGTGCGAGCGGATACAGCTTGGCTACGAGGCACCTGGAGCCAGCCCCAGCACTTCAGCATTGGTGAGTGGAAGTGGGGGTTGTATTTGCCCAACACACACTGCCGCAGAGAGTGTTTCTCAAGCTTCCTGGGCCTGGCTTTCAGGAGAACATCCCAGCCAAATCTGCCTCGCGTCCCTCACCAGCCACTCACAGCCTGTAGCCTCCCACAGCCATGCGAGCCTCTCTGCCTACAGTGGTAGTTCTCCCTGTTGGCAAACTTTTTTAAAAAAAAATAATTTATTTTTACATATTTTTGTGCATTTTTCCATCTCAGTTGCAATCCCTTTGGGTTTCCCTGTCGGCAAACTCTTATGCATCCTTCACCACTCTGCTCCAAAGCTCCCTCCACCATGAAGCCTTCGGTGCTTCCCTCTGGGCACTCCCCAACTGTAACCACCTCTCCTTCCAAGTCTGACACCTCAGGGGATTCTGTCTCCTGCATCCTAAAGAGCTCCTGGGGAGAAAAGAACAAGGTGGCTATATTATTGAATGAGTGAGCGAATGCATAACCTCCTGTCACAAAGATAAATTTGAGGCTCCATTGTTTGGGGATGGGTAGCCCTGACAGACTTGGAGACCAACACCTATTATCCTTGCAGTGAAATCGACTCCCAAGAGAACCAATAAAGCAGGTTTAATGTGGAGTGGACTGGTCAGGGCCCAGGGAGCAGCCACAGGGGCCAGATGTGGCAGTGCCTGAAGCTAGTGTTCTGAGCATGTACAGTTTGCCAAGTTTTGATCCCGGATGAGGAAACTAAGATGTAGAGGGGGCCAGGACCAAGAGTGGGGTGATGGAAGACCTGGCTCTCCCTGTTCACTCCCCACCGAGAAGAAGCACTGTTTCTCCCAAACCAAACTCTTCTTTCCCCAGAAGCCCAGATTTCCATGTTGTCCATCTTCCTGGCATCTCTGGGAAGCTTCCTGAGCATCTTTCTCCTGGGCATCCTTGGCTACCTTGGTCTGAACAGGTAATTTGCACAATCCCCCCTCCCAGGCTTTGTACAGCAACAGCGATACTGTTAAGAACTACTCACATCAAGTAGGCATCCGTACTCACGAATGAGGAAACTGAGGCTCTGATGGTCAGTGGGGACAGGACTGGAATTTGAGCCTAGTTCTGCCAGACTCTTACACCCTCCCCCCAGTTCACATCTTCACCACCTTTATCACTTAATGGAGATGAGAACCACACATCAGAACAATGAAAAAGTAAGAACAGACCAAAGCTCTGTTCCTGACTGTCTTCTCTTCCTCCCAGGGTAGTAGGGTGCCTGTGTCCACCCCTGCCCACGCCCTGCACCAGCACTGCAGTCAAATTCCCTAGAAGCCAGTGGAAAGAGGTAAGGGCCTTTTTCTAATTCCAAATCCTGTTTATTGTTTCAGGACTCTGCTCAGTAATGGCCATGCATTCGCTCATTTATTCAACCTAAACCATAGAGGCAGGGCCCAAAAAAAAAAAAAAATACTGCCCTATTTACAGATGGGTGAACAAAAGCCCCAAAAGGAACCTCTGTGGGCCATTTCCTCAGCAGAAACAAACCTCAAGGTGGATACTATAAAGAAGGAACCCAATGGTTTGTTTGCCAGAGTGGTAGGCTTCAGGCATAGCTGGATCCAGGGACCAAAACTCCATATCTGTTTTCCCTGCAGGCTTCTCTCCCAGGCAGGCTCAGCCTTCCCCCATGGCAGCAGAGTGTCTGTTTTACTAGCCAGAGCAAAAGTCTCAGCAGCATCACCAACTGGTGCAGCTTGGATCATGTACCCATCCCTGAGGTTGGGCGTCTGGGGCAGGATCACATGCCCATTGCTAGGGCTAGCCCCACTGCCCTGCAAAGCCAGCCATGAGAGGAGAAACAACAGGGGACCCTTCCAAGAGGAGGGGGTTTTAGTGAGTCGGCCTCAGGATTCCAGAGAATTTAGTCAGAAGGGACCTAGTCGACCCCATCCTGTGTGGATGGGAAATAGGACCCGACCCGCAACCTCTGTTCCACCCTCCTTTTCCAGAACTGGCTATGGGTCAGCCCCACGGACTTCCTGGAGGAGGTGTCCCCACAAGAAGCCTTGGTGGTAAACATGTCCGGGGATGAAGTCAAGGGGGACACACCCAAGCCTCTCAAGGAGGAGAAGAAGCTGCCTCAGAGGGCGCCAGGGCCCATCTTGGACATGGAACTGCCCTTGGCAAACAGGAGGCAGGTGCCAGGACACCCTGAGGCTGGGGCGCTGGGCCCTGGTAGGCAGGACAACCTGGAGGGCAGCCCGGCCCAGACAGCTGCACTCCCACTGCTCCTGGGAGACCAAGCACACGGGCCCAGCTTTGGCGGCCCTGGGAACAAGGACCTGGAAGGCCGAGGGAGAAAAAGGAGGGACCCCCCCACCCATGGACAGGAAGACTGATAACCGAAATCACAGGGGGTGGTTATTAAGTGCATGTGCATAGCCAGCCTGTCTCATCCAGCCCATAGTGTGATGCTCTGAACCCCCTAACTGCCTCCAGAGGAAGGTGGCTGTCCTGTCTCACAACGTGCTCATTGAGGACCAAAGCTGGCAAGCTGCTGGCCTGAAGCCACACTACAGAGCCCTGGAAGGAGTCAGACCAGGCCAAGTGACCCGAACCTTCCCCATCCCCCGGACCCAACCCGGCGCCTCTACTGCCCCCATCCCCACTCCACCCATCCCCTCCAGCACCTGTTTCAACATCATGTGGCTGGAACCCTGGGAACAGCCCAGAAACAGAAGCTGCCACACCCAGCCTGGGCCTGATACCCATGGGGCAAGGACAGGCATGTCATTGGCCCGCTGGGCTTGGGGCAGACTGGAGGGGGCCCAAAGGGGACTCATCCTGATCCCAGGGCGCTGAGCTGGGCACCCTGACCTAGGAGCATGGCTCCGGGAGTCTGTGCGCACTGCATTGTGGGGGCTCCTCGGTGGGAGGATCTAGATGTGGAGAAAGAAAGGGGGTCTAAGCATTTTCAGGGAGGGGATTCTCTACTCCATCAGTTTGCTCTATTGTGAAAGGGGGTTGATGATACTGCTGACCTCACAGAGCTGTTAGGGGATCTTAAAGCTTAATAAATGAGCTTCCTTATTTATTAAGGGAGCCTTAATATCCTGACATATTCTGACTGGAGCCCATGTGTCCTGCTCAAAATCCCCAAACTGGAGTCTGAAAATACATGTGTTCATTCATTCCATGTGCATGTATTAATCTCTCCCTCTGGGAGGTCCCAGAAATGCCCAGTCTTTGGGAGACCAATCTTGGATGACCACTCAAAACTCTATAAAGGGCCCTCCCTGGTGGCGCAGTGGCTTAAAGCACAGCACTAAGAAGCTAACGCCACTTCAGCATGAGTTCAATCCCCGCCCACACTGGAGTTGACCTACATGGCGCAGCAGACCTCTCCTGACCTGCCCGCTGCTCCCCTCAGCAGCATCAGTTGGCCTGTCCTGCTCCCCACTCTGTCTCTGGTGAATCCTCTCACCGCCCTGCACCTCTGGCCTGTACCCCAGCTCTGTCTGCATAAATAAATAAATCTTTAAAAAAGAAAACTGCAAAGTCTGATCTAGGGGGCCAAAGGGGTGCAGGGTTGGGTTCCCCCCAATTGCAAGAACCTTGCTTATACCCAGTCCCGCGAGTGGCTAGCCCCGCTCCTCCCAGGGCTCCTGCCTGGGACCCTCCTCCTTCCTCTCGAGACCCAGCCACCCAGCCGCAGGAAGGCAGCGCGGCAGACACACCTGAGGTCTGCTCCCGTGGTGCCCTGTCTGCAGCCTGCTCCGAGTGGTCCCCGACTCCCCCAACCCGGAGGCCACCAGGTGGCAGCAGCGGCGCAAGCGTCCTCGGCTCAGTTCCCGCCCCTTCCACCTCCACGAAGTTTACAAAACACGCTGTTCTGGTTTTAAAGGGCGCAGTAAAGCGGGGGTGGGGGTGGGTGTAGACATGGAGGAAAATCCAGAATCACTGAATTTTGTGACAAAATACGATGGGGCCTCTGGGCAAGAGAGGTCAGATAGCCCAAAAGTCCAGGAGGTGAGAGGCTCGGGTCTAACCCCTTGGGGGGTGTGGGGGGCTGGGGGTGGGCAATGCTGGGTTGCCCCATATATATGTGTATGTGTGTGTGTGTGCATGTATGTGTATGTGTGTGGGGAAGCAGAAACCCCCGCTGAATGTGCCTTTCTAGGGTTTGCCAACTACCAGCTTTTGCCCAAGCCCTGCCCTTCACCAGGCATGCCCTTGCTGCAAGGATCAGTCCTCCTTTCTTAGGGCGGGTTCCAACCGGGAGACTGGGACAATGGCAGGGTCAAGTGGTCAGACAGGAGGAGATTCCAGGTCAGTGGTCTCACCAGAAAGACCAGAGTGACCTGAGCCTCCGGGGCGCAGGAGCTATCCAGTGGAGCTTTGAGGTGGGCCTGTGTGGTTGTTTCGGAATCTCTTTTGGTGACTCCTGGAGTTGGCTGCAAACCCACCGTAGGCACAGCCTCCTGGATCTAGTGAGGAGGGGAAAGGGGGAGATGGACACCCTGTTTCCACTGGGGTGGGTGGAGCTGGCTGGGAGAAAAGCTTGCAAGAAAACTGAATATTGCAGAGTGTCCCAGGTGCAAGCCACTCCTGAAACCCATCATCCTGGACTTTTTCTGTCCATCATGCTCTCATTTTGTTGAGACTACTTTGAGTTCTGTTTCTGTTCCTGGGAAGGATCCACTGGAGTCTCCTTTCTGGCCCCTGCCTGCTGTCTGGCAATAGGCTAGAGTGCCTGTTTGGGGTGCCCACTCAGGGGGTGGGTTGGGCAGCCTCGCTTCACAGAGCCCTGGTCCCCCGGGAGTCCTGGGAATGTGGATCCTTCACTTCCTCCCATCAACACTAGGCGTCAGGGTGGTGCTAGGGCCCAGCCCACAGTTGCATTTATCCACCAATTCAGAAGTCTGGCCAGCAACTACTGTATACAAGGTCAGAACTGGGCCCATTAGGAGAGGCTTCTGGTTGTGTAGGGAAGGCAGATGTTAATCTAGTTGCAATAAACCTGGGAGAGTGACAGGAGAAAGTGTGATAAGGGGGGTGGGTGGGGTGCAGTACAATCCAGATGGCTTCCTGGAAGAGGTGGTGTTTTGGCCGATGGTGAAGAATGGAATGGGAAAGGAAAGGCCCTGGCAGGGGTGGCTGGTGGGGGGAGAAGGGAGAGAGAGACTCCAGCCTGGGGAGGCTGCGGACATTTTATTCTTGGCTTGCAAGGGGGAATTCCTGCAGCAAGAGGGCCAAGGCCTGATTTCTAAGTTGCTCCAAGATGCTCCCTACTGCTGTTTGGCTGGAACAGCTGCTTCAGCCTTACTGGCCTCGGTATTCTTGTGGCCATGCGGCTTTCCCCAGAGTCCTTGTCCACTTCGAGCCCCACCTCTGTCTGTCTCTCTTAATCTGACTTCTTTTCATCTCAGCTCCCGTTATGATTCAGGAAGTTGTCCAACATGAAGGCTGCCTCAGTTTACCTGTTCAGATACCTCCCTCCTCTGCCTCTTTGGGTTTGGTCAGAGAGAAATTTTTTCTCTGCCTCTGCCCTCAAGTCAGGATGGGTGTTGCAGGGCAGAAACAGTATGGATGGAAGACACAGGAGTGAAAGGATTCACTGGAGAGATTTGGAGAACAGAAAAGGTGGATTTACTGAAATATACTGCCAAGAGGAACAGCGGGTGAGACAGAAGTTTGCAGTGCAGAGATAGGGGCTCTACTTATAACCTAGGCACCACTGATTAGTTAGTCCTGGGTGGGTCCAGGCTAATGACTCCAGGTAGGCTTAACAGATCATCAGCTTATTGGCTCAGGTCCCAAGACTGTCCCATTCACTCCCTTTATCCATTAAAGCCGCCCAAGCCTGTTTCCTGGGCAAGGAGTGGGGGGCTCAGCTTTTAAATTTAGTAATAATACCACGACAGGGACTTATAAGACTCAACTGCAGGCACACAAAAAGGTCAATAGAGGGTTTATTTATGAAAGAAGGGGAAATGAAGAAAGAAATGACTCAGGGAGAAAAAAGAGAGAGAAACTAGTGAATGTGTTCTACCAGTTTCACTGAGCTGGGACCCCAATAAACACTGAGAGCCCAAGGCCCACAAAGCCTGGCTACAGGCCAAGCCCAGCTGCTTAACCCCACCCTCACTTCCCAGCATCCTCCCTCGGTGATAATGACATTATGGGATTTCTAGCCTTTGGTATCTTGGATCTCTCTGGTTTGGGGTGGTGCCCATAAACCTGTTAGTGGAGTTTGTTCAGGGTGATGTAGTTTTGGAGGTGAGTTTGGAGAGTGGGGTCCCTGGGTTCACTCTGAGAACGGTTTCTCCAGAGCTCCCCGTTCAGTAGCACGCGGTGAAATTCTCCATGACACAGAGACATTAGTTATATTTAAGAGCAGGTTTATTAGGAAAAGTGACCAAAGAGTAAAAGACACTTGTATGACACAAGCAGGCAGGAAGAGCTGCTCTGAAAGGGATGGATTTGCTGCGAGGCCTGCATGGTTGCAGGTGGGTGGCATTGAGGAGAGCGGCCTCTGTGGAGGGAGGTCAGTGCAGGGAAGCCCCAGTGTGGCGCAGGTCACGGGCAGGCAGGAGGTGCTGCCCTGCGGATGGAGAGAGCTGGTACAAGGAAGCACCTGCGTAGGCACAGGTGGGCAGAGAGCTGCTGCCCCTCTGTGCAGTGCTGGGTTTATCGTCTTCTTTGGGAGGGGAGGGGCTCATTGTCATGAGTGGATGATTTGTTTCTTAATCCCCATATCTTCACTTTCTGGTCTGTGCTCCTCACCCTCCCTACAGCATCTGATAGTTTTTCCAGCTGGATTAATGGCTATGCTAATCCCTCTAATCCCATCTCCTATATGAGACAGATACCTTGTAGCATCCTTTCCCATTTTTCTATACTTATCCTCCATCAAGGGCATCCTTTCTCCCTAACACAACTGCCACTTCTATCTAGTCTAGAACATTCCTTTACCCCAAAAGGCAATCCTGTCCCCCACTCCAGCCCCTGACAATCATTTATCTGCTTTCTGTCTGTGGATCTGCCTGTTCTGGACATTTCCTATCAATGGATCATACACTGTGTGGCCTTTTGGTGATAGGAATTTAACATTGTATCTGAATCATTTATCCTGTAGTGTGTGTCAGTGTGTCACTCCTTTTTATGACTGAGTAATATTCCACTGCTAGACACTTGATCTTAGCCAAAAGGCCAAGAAGTGATGGGGCCGGGTTGTTAGAATCATGTGTTACTTTACATTGGAGACACTTCCTGAGAAATCATCATAAGGTGATTTCATCCTTGTGTGAACGTCACAAAGTGTGATTACATGAACCTAGGTGGTGCAGACAGCCTCCTACACATTTGGAGTGTGTACAGTTTACTTGGACCATGGCCCTCTGTGCAGGCTGACACTGACAGAATACCATTAGCAGTTGCATGATGGCATTTATCCATTTATTCCTTGATGCACATGTGGGTCATTTCCACCTTTTGACTATTTTGAACCATGTTGCAGTATATACAGTATACAAGTTTTGGTGTGAACACCTGTTTTCAATTCCCTTTCTATATAACTAGGAGTGTTACAGGGCAGGAGAAGGGGCATCCAGGATCCCCAAACCCACCCACTCTAAATAGGTTCTGCCATCTATTGCATCAAGACTAACACATACTCTAGTGTGTAAGACCTTTAATAGAAAGGAACTCTAATATAGTTAGTGTGCAACAAAGAAAAGGGGAAGAATAAAGTGTTTAAATCAAGCATCCAAAATTACCCATGAGTAAATGCCCAGCCAAACAAGGTTGGCCCAAAGCTGGACCACTGAGGCCTGAAACCCTGCAAGTATATATACTTTTAAAGATATATTTATTTATGCATACAGAACTGGGGTACAGGCCAGAGACTCGGGGCGGTGAGAGGCTTCACCAGAGACAGATTGGGGAGCAGAACAGGCAGATCGACGAAGTACACTGCTGAGGGGAGCAGCGGGCGGGTCAGGAGAGGTCTGCCTCGCCATGTGAAGCTCCTCTGGGGCAGGCGGGGATCGAACTCATGCTGAAGTGGCTTTAGCTTCTTCGTGCTGTGCTTTAACCCGCTGTGCCACCAGGGAGGGCCCAGAAACCCTGCAAGTGTAAGGCACCTCCTGGTGGAGCCCCATGTCAGACATGTCTAGGAGAAAATGAGCAAAATCAAAATCAAGATAAATGCTGCCAATGCCAGCCTCCCCATGGGTCTCGCCCACATCTGCTTCCCCCAGCCCAGGACCCCAGAGCCAATGCAGTTTCTTCACATGTCT